AAAAAAAAAAAAAAAAAAAAAAAAAAAAAAAAAAAAAAAAAAAACACTAGGCCTTTCCTGGATGCATATGACCGCTTTTCCGAGCCGGCCTGGATGCATATGACCGCGTTTCCGAGCCGGCCTGGATGCACCTGACCAGTGAACGCAATGTAGTCCACCCAGAAGTGGAAAAGTCATATTGCGAATATGCCCTCAGTTTTAGAGTGAAGGAGGATCACTCGCGCTCCTCTTGGAGGCGAGCGAAACTGGGTACTGCTCCCAGGATTATTTTCCCCAGGGTGATTGTGAGGACCCCAGCCACCATCCATTTTTTTATTTTTTTCTTGCCACGAATCCCGCGATTCTGTTTTATGATTTGCAAGGATGGAAGTCTGTGCTCTAATTGATACTAGCTAAGCGCCCGCGGTGCAGGCAGTGCGGGCCATGCCCGCAGAAATAAGAAATGTTGTAGGCAACCTGACATGGACCACTGGCATAAACTGAGACAAAATTAAAAAAAAAAAAAAATGAATCACAGGGTAATAAAGAATAGCCTAAAACTGGCTACGAAGTTTGAGTTTAATTGACGAATAGCTTAGCGTTCGCGATGCGGACAGTGCGGGACAAATAGCTTAGCGTCCGCGGTGCGGACAGTGCGGGCTACGCCCATAACCACAACTACCGAAACGGTAAAGAAAGTACCATAGAGTAGATTGTCGTAGACTGTCATAGAGTAGAGTAGAGTAGAGTGTTGTAGAGTAGTGTTGTCGAGTATGTGTGTGTGTGTGTGTGTGTGTGTGTGTGTGTGTGTGTGTGTGTGTGTGTGTGAATGTGTCTGTGTGTGTGCGTGTGTGCGTGTGTGCATGTGTGCGTGTGTGCATGTGTGCGTGTGTGTGTCACGTGTGTGTGTGTCTCTTTGTGTCTGTTTGTCTGTGTGTCTGTGTGTGTGTGCCCCCGTGTGTGTGTGTGTGTGTGTGTGTGTGTGTGTGTGTGTGTGTAGTGGGTGTGTGTGAACACGGCCACCCCGTATATAATACGGGAAACAAGAACATCACATCTGTCATATCGCGACAGGTCAGTAGCAGTTTAAACATAGTGGGTGTTTTAGTCATCAACTCATCTGTGAGGATGTAAGAGAGGTTTGCGATTTAGATTTTGGGGGAGCATTTTAGTAATTAGAGTTAGTAATTAAGGTTGGCAATGGCCGATGAGGACAGCCATAGGGGGGTGCACACCCTGAAGCGCGCTTTTTGCTGCTTAGCATCCATAGCAGCTCGTCAGAGGGATGATGCTCCAGATTAGTTTGTAGATGGGGTGCAGCGGGCCTCCATCTGCCCTGGCCTACAGCCAGGGCCTGTTCGGCTATTTGCCAGTTCGGCCTGTGGGACCAGGTCGTGGCCTGACCCCACAGGCCGTGTACTATTCCAGTCCAGTCCAGTCCTGCCCGGTATCACTGTCGGTACCAGGCCAGTCCAGTCCAGTCCAGTCAGTCCAATGGGGGTATACCCCAGCTGTTGTCTGTTTTTCATCATTCTTCACTTTTGCACATCTTGGAGTATGTGCGTGTTGAGTCTCCGTCGGAGCTGCATTGTCCCTTCCAGCTCCATCTCTACCTCCTCCTTCGTCAACCCTTCTTCTCCATCCTGACGGACTGCCATCCCGGCGGGTCCGACACACTGGTATCAGAGCGGGAACGGTTCCCGCTCCAACCTGCCCGCCCTCCCGTTTCAGCGTTTTTGCAGGCTTGGGCTAAAACAGCGAAATAACGGCAAAAAAGCGGGAGCGTGTAGAGGCGCTGGCGCGTGGCGGAAAATCGCCAGAGTTGGCGCTTCAAAATTGCATGACTTGACCCGCCTACCACACTGTGCAACGTTAGGGTTTGGACACACAGGCACATCCTGACCTGCCAGCTGCCTAAAGTTGGATACACTTCAACAAAAAGCAGTCCACAAAAACACACAGCTACCCAGTCGACCTCAGTGGTTATCAGATCAGGCAGTTACATCTCTCAAATATGTGCGTGGGTTCAAACCCTAACAACAACCATTAGCAACGAACTTCAAAATATTAATATGTGTGTGTGTGACTGGGCGAGTGGGTGCGTGCATGCATGCATGCATGTATGGGGGTGGGTGGGTGGGTGGATAGATGACTGCGGTCAGGCGGGCGGCCATCACTTGTCATTTTTTTCCCCCACAACAAAAAATGAAACAATGGGGGCAAAAGGAATAAAATGATGGACTGCCCACCACGTGAAGAAAAAAATTAGAAAACAACAGACTGGTCGTCCCGCGAAGAAAAAAATTGCAAACGAAACGACAAATTGTCCACCCCACAAAAACGACAACGTCGACCAAAAAAACAAAATCAACACTGAAACGACACACTGCCCACACCAAGAAAAAAAAAAGAAAAAAAAAAGCAAACCGCTTATCAATGGCGGTCGCTTCTAGATATTCCCTCGCATCTACGCCCACCACCGCCCGGCCCCATGGGAGCGCACTCTCGTTTCATGGCGCGTTGTGAACAATTTGGTACGCCCACCGAACTGCACAGCCCCCTGTCCTCAATCGCTTTCATCTGTCTCCCCTCGCCAAAAGTTCGACCGGATTTCGGAGCGCAGTGGACCACCGACCTCCCCCCGCAGCCAATGCTCCTTAAGAGATAGGATATAGGATATATATACATATAGCAATATACATACATATATATATATGTATATATGTATATATCGTCACAAACAGAACTGCCCGGTAAAACCGTAGGCAGAGAGAGAGAAGAGTACATATATATATTATATATGTATCGTCAAACAGAGTTGCCCGGTAAACCATGGGCAAAGTGGGAGAAGAAATCATCAAATATATATATATATGATCTAGGTCCACCTGGATTCGAGTCTCGTTGCTTATC